AGGGGAAACATTCATTAAGGAAAGTTTGATCATAGCTCAGCAGTGATCATAGCTCCAGTGGTCTGAGGACCACATAATAGAGCCTTCTTGTAACTGGTGAAGTAAGGGTCATATTCAGAAGTATCAAGAAAATGAATCCTGCAGAAAATAACTTGGGGAACAAACTTGAATTAAAATGCAGAATGCACACAGTACTGCAATCCAGAGCATTAATTTGAATATTATCTTACTACACTTGTCTCCTAGCCTCTCCCCATTCTGAATCTTTTGAATTTTTCTCATACTAAGACTGAAAGATTTTAAACAAAAGCAAAAACAAATGACTAAATGGTTTTGTTAACTGCAATAATATACTACAGCATATTTCATAAAGTTTTCGGTAGTGTTAATACAAGATTTACAGTAACAGTCTGAAAGATTGTGATGTAGTTACTTAATCCTGAGTTGATAATGACTTATAATTAATTTTTTATACTTCCAGGCAGTGACTGTATTTTGATGAGATTGTCTTCTGTTTGCTGTAGTATTTATTTTAATCAAACTTGTCAGGTCATAACTATGCAAAAATGGAAGGACACTTGTCAAATTCCCTACCCCATATTTTTGCTCTTTCCCTATGAATAAGTACTTTGAAAACTGGAGTTTGGTAATTTCATCAAATATATTCATTATTGGGGCAGGATTAAAATTTATGTGGTCTTTGTTGGCGGCAGTAAAAGTATGTCTTTTGGATAGCAGTATGTGTCAGAAGTATAATCAGAAATCAAAGAATGGGAAGTTATAATTTTATGAGGTTAAAGTACCAAAAGGTAGAACACCATATTGATGATGTTATTCCCCCCTTTCCCCCCAAATACTAGAGATTGAACGCAGTCCCAGTGGCACTCTACCACTGAGCTATATCCCCATCCCACTTTCAAAAATATTTATGTTTTTAGTTGTAGTTGGACACAATATCTTTATTTTTATGTGGTGCTGAGGATTGAACCCAGGGCCTCACACGTGCTAGGTGAGTGTTCTACCGCTGAACCACAATCCCAGCCCCTATCCCCATCCCTTTTAAGGGCTAAGACAGAGGTTGTCCTCCGACTTGTGATCCTCTGCCAGATCCTTTTGAGTAGCTAGTATTACAGGTGTGTGCCACTGAGCCTGACTTGTAACTCCATTTTTATTTTTCACTTTTTGGTAATGGGGATTGAACTCAGTGTGCTTAACCACTGAGCCACATCCCAACCCTTTTCATTTTTTGAGACAAGAGTTTTCATAGCCTAGATGAAATAGGCAAATTCCTAGGAGCAAAATCTGGCAACACCAAATTTTGAAGAAAGGATATCTAAGTCAACCTGTAACTAATAAAAGATTGCATCTGTAATTAAAAACTCTTCATAGGCTGCAGTTGTAGTTCAGTGGTAGGGCAATTGCCAGGCAAGTGTGAGGCACTGGGTTTGATACTCAACACCACATAAAAATAAATAAAATAAAGATACTGTATCCGTGTACAACTAAAAAAGTTAAAAAACAAACAAATGGGCTTGGGTTGTGGCTCAAGTGGTAGCACACTTGCCTGGCATATGCGCAGGTCTCTGGGTTGAATCCTCAGCACCATATAAAAATAAAAAATAAAGATGTCGTGTCCACCAAAAACTAAAAAATAAATTTTAAAAAATTATTTCTCTCTCTCTTAAAAAAAAAAAAAACCAGCTCTTCACAATCCAAAGAAAACCCATCCATTACCAGATGTCCTCTGGTGAATTCTACCAACATTTAAGGAATATTTACTGCCATAACTATCAAAACTCCTCCCCAAATCACATGGGTAGGCTCTTCTTTGTTCATTCTATGAGACCAGCGGTACTTTGATTCCAAAGCTGTAGACATTAAAAGAAAATTATAGAGCCATATCTTTTGTGAATACTGATGCAAAAACCCACAACAAAATACTAGAAAAACCTGGTTTGAGGTTGTGACTCAGTGGCAACATGCTTGCCTTGCACGTGTGAGGCACTGGGTTTGATCCTCAGCACCACAAAAAAATAAACAAAAATAATGATATTATGTCCATCTATTAAAAATACTAGAAACCCAAATTCAGGTGCATATTGAAAGGAATATATTCAATGACCATGTGGATTTATATCTGGTAAGTGGTACATATATGCCACATAAACAGAATGAAAAATAATGAAAAATAAAAATTGCATGATCTCAGGCAGAAGACTCACTTGACAGAATTCAACACTATTTCATGAGTAAAACAAGCCTCAACAAAATAGGAATAGGAATAGAAGGAACTATCACAAATAAATAAAAGGTTCATATTGAAAAACTTGCCAGTTATCAGACTAAATGGTGGGAGACTGAAAGTTTTTCCTCTAATGGAACATAGTAGGGTTGCACTGCTTTCTCCAAATTCATTCAGCATAGCATTGGAAGTTCTAAGAGCAACAGAATAATTTGTTATTTGAATGCTTTGGCATTCAAACTGGAAATAAAGATGTGAAACCATCTCCACTTCCAGATGATATGCTGTAAATATATAAATGTTCTATAGCTGGGGGCTGTGGTGGCACATGCCTATAATCCCTGCAACTCAGGAGCTGAGGCAGGAGGATTGCAAGTTCAAGACCAGCCTTAGCAATTTAGGAAGGCCCTAGGCTACTTAGTGAGACCCTGTCTCAAAAAAAAAAACACCCCCCTCAAAAAAAAAGGCTGGGATGTTGCTCAGTAGTTAGGTACCCCTGGGTTCAATCCTCAGTACCAGAAAACAAGCCACCCCCCCAAATCTATAGAATATATAAGAAAAACCAATTATGAAATCAGGGAAATTAGAGTATTGTGAGTTCAAAGCCAGCCTCAGTAACTTATGAAACCTAACCTACTCAGTGAGACCCTGTCTCTAGATAAGATATTTTAATAAGGGCTGGAGGTGGGGTGCTGGAGTTGTGGCTCAGTGGTAGAGTGCTTGCCTGGCATGTGTGAGGCTCAATTCTCAGCACCACATATAAATAAGTAAATAAAATGAAGGTACATCAACAACTGAAAAATCTTTTAAAGTAATAAAAATAAAAAGGGCTGGAAAGGTCGTTAAGTGCTCTTGTGTTCAATCCTAAAAATAGAAGAAGAAGAAGAAAATCCAAATGATATACATATAACTTGTGATAATTGAATTTGCTAAGTTTAGTGGTACAAGATCCAGTGTAATTTCATTAGAAGTAGTTATAATAATATTGTCTTCTGATTCCCATCTCAAAGGTGAAGTTTTCATCATTGCCTCATTATTAAATTTTTATGCAATCCATTTTAGTTTTGTTCATTTTTTTTCTAGAACTATATTTCATAAATGTACAAATAACTGTTACAATGTTGTTAATAATATCCTACAATTTTCTTTGATGTTCTCTTTTATTTTTCTGGCCTTGGTAATTTTTTTATGTCTTTTTTGCAAGGTCATTCTCACTACTATTGTCATTTAATGTTTTCCTCAATAGGAGTGTATGTGTGTGTGTGTGTATAAACTTAATTTCATTTATTTTACAATTTATCAATCTGCTCTTAAGTATTCTGCCATTTTCTTTCTTGGTTTTGTTATTCCTTTATGAAAGTCCTGAGATGGATATTTTTCCCTAATTGATTATTAGTTTCCCTTCTATTTTAATATACCAATTTAAAGCTCAACATTTCCCTCTGTATATCTGATTTTTGTGTTTCTTTTGGTGGTTCTGTCCATTTTTGCTTTATAAAATATTAGCTTATACTTTATGGTAACTTGAGCCTTTTAACCATTATAAAGGGTCCCTGAATGTTAATTATTTATTTATGTATGATGTTGGGGATTGAACCCAGAGCCTTGTGCGTGGGAGGGAAGCACTCTACCAACTGAGCTATTTCTCCAGCGGCCCCCCCCCCCACTATTTTTTTCCTTTAAGTTCATTTGCTTAAGCATTAGTGTAAGAAAAATTTACATTATAGAAATAATTTGAAACCTGGGATGATAGTATTTTTATTGAGAGAAGATTTTTATTTACTTTTGTGAGGGCCAGAAAATGCTAACAAAATACATCCACCATCATGCAGTTTCAGGGATTTGGTACTTTGGTATCAGTCCCTTCTAGAGAAGTCCTAATTCCCTTTTCCCAATACTCCTGTGGAGAAGGTCTTTGATGGTTACCAAAGGAAATGAACTCCTATTCCTTGAAAATGACCCCTTCAATAAGTCTGCTTTAGTTCATTCCAGATCTTATACAACACCATAACTGGCTAGCTTATAAAGAACAGATCTTTATTCCTCACGGTTCTGGAGGCTAGGAAGTCCAAGTTCAGGGTGCCAGGGGATTCAGGGTTTCTGAGGGTTCACTTCCGGTTCATAGGTAGTTCCTTCTAGTGATTTCTTCACGTAACTGAAAAAGCAAATGAGCTCCCTCGGGACACTTTACTGACAGTACTGATCCAATTCAGGAGGAAAAGCTCTCATGATGCAATCACTCCCAAAGGTCAGCTTCCTAATACCATTATCTGGTGGGTTTGATTTCAACACATGAATTTGGGGGTGGGGACGGTGACACAAGCATTGATATCACAGCCAATATCTATGTCTGCTTCTCAGTCTTCTATGTCTTCTAATATGTCTGCTTCTCAGTCTTCTAAGAATCTACAGTCTTCTAAGACTGACACACAACAATGAACAGACATTTGCCCAAAACCTTCTCAGGGATTTCTGGGAAGTGAAAACTAGGAGGGCAGAGTATTTGGATACTTCTGCTCCAGGGAACCGGACTTCGTCTCTCGGGAAATGTAGTCCAGGACTGAAGTACTGTGGCTGGTTTCCCGCCTAGAATCCTGGGACCTGCAGTCTAAGCTCAGAGCACCTCGCGTACTTCCGTTTCTAAGCCCTTCCTGTAAACGGGCCCTCTCCCCCGCGGAATCCTGGGAAGCGTAGTCCCGGAACTCCTGTACTCGCAGGCTCTTCCAGTGGGGGAAGGCAGTTCTGGGAGTTCTGGGCTGAGCAGTGTAGCCCAGGAGCTTTTGGTAGTCGTTGGTACTTCCGCTCCAGGAGGATGGCGTAGCAGCCATCTTTTCTCGGGCTTTAGTGGTTTTGATCTTCTTCCCTGAAACCTTTCGAATGTCTCCTGAATGTACTTGGGAACAACACTTAGCAGTCTTTCGTTTGGGGAGGACCGGCTGACAGCGGACGTTTGCGAATAGCGTTTTGCGTTCTCTAGGGCGGAGCTTCCTTGAATTGGGGGCGTACCTGGGTCGACGGAGTTTGAGGGTCTCCTGGGGGCTGGCGCCTCCTGCCCGACTCGCCCACCTGCGAGCCTGACCTGCAGCTTCAGACGGTCTCACCTCGGACCGCCTAGTTAACCCCTTTGTGCTTTTGATTGTTCTGTAAAAGGAAAATACAAGTTACACCTTCAAATGATGGAATATTTTGAGAAAAACGTGGTATACTACAAAAGATTTAAAACTGCCTGGTACATGGATTTTTCTTGATACTACTAGAAATTTTCCGAGAAGCGCATGTTTCTGGACTTCATCTGTCGGGAAATGTAGTCCAGGACTGAAGTACTGAGCGTCCTGAGGTCTGGAAGCAACTGTATTATCCCTAAACCATTGACCTTTTAAAGAAGGAGAGTGTTGCTTCTAGCTGGTCTGGAAGATGTGACTGTGACTGATTGGAGGTGGAGACACAACCCTGGTTTTTTACAGCCTGCTTTTCTTCACTATTCCTGACTTGTCCAAAAGCACTGCAGAAAAGAAGAGGCCGCAGAGCCCCACGTGAGTAAGACTTGTCATTCCACAAATGTCACATAAATCTGAGAATGTGTTACAGTTAAAGCCTAAGTTTCCAAGTTCCATTCCAAATGCTTTATACAGATGAAGCCCTTCAGAGTGCTTTGTGAAGTGGTACCGCTATTTTTCCTACTGTGAAGATGAGGAGACTGAGAAACAGGGAACGTAACCTGTTTGCCCATGGTCCATTGCTAGTAGGTGGCAGGAATAGCATTGGATCCTAAGCAAGGTGAATCCAGATCTGAGCTCATCCTGTCTTTGGTATGGTCTCTCTGGGTCATAGGACTCTGGTCACTATTGAGTGGAAATAGGCCGAGACTTGAGGGGATCTTGAGAGCAAGATGTGGATTTCATTTTATTTCAAATAATATTTGTTATAGAAATAACCTTTAATCATGGAAAACACAAATTTATAAAAAACTTTAATTACCACAACTATATCATGTAAAAATAACAAATATTAATAGTTTAGTGCCTTTTTTGTCATCATTGTGTATGTTTTTGTTTAGCAGAGGTCTTTTGGGGGGACACTAATAGTCACAGCAATGCTTTTGAGACTGGGATCCCCTAGGCATGATTGCACTCCCTTATCATCCCAGCTGCTCTGGAGGCTAAGGCAGAAAGATCACAAGCTCAAGACCAGCCTTTGAAACTTAGACCTTGTCTCAAAATAAATTTTAAAAAGACTGGTGATGTAGCTCAGTGGTAGGAAGCATGTTTTATCCCTCCTATGGAAAAAAAAAAAAGGAAGAAGAAATGAGTCTACAAATCAACAGCATTAGGATCACATAGTGAGAAATACCCAGCCTTAAGTCTCATCTAAGACCTTCCACTTTAGAATTTCTGTAGATGGAACCCAGAAATTGGGATTTCAACAAAATCCTAAGGTGATTCCTACACAGGCTCGGGAAAGGGACCTACTTGGAAACTCAGGCCTAAGGCAATTGATCTTGCCAAATGTCACAGTTGAAACTGAGCTGGCCACACAAGCATCCTACTCAGTCCAAAGATTTTGTTCAGTAAATGTTGTCAGTTATCGAGTCTTCTGAAAAATCCTGACATGAGCAGAAGGCAGCTAGCAAGTCTCGAGTTAACATGGAGAGAATTAGAAATGCGAAGATAAATTTTTCCTAGGATTTGGGGAATGGGTTCATTGCTCTTTTGTACCAGAGGATTTTTGTCTAAAGTGGCAAGACTGACCACTAGTTACTGTCAATTAATGCTAGATACTTTTTTTCTGTAGTCATTACTATTATTACTACTGTTGTTGTTACTATAACAATTTCCTGATTTCATTAGTTTTTTATTTATTTACTTATTTTGGTGTTGAGGATTGAACTCAGGGGCACTTGACTACTGAGCCACATCCCCAGCCCTATTTCATATTTTATTTAGAAACAGGGGCTCACTGAATTGCTTTGTGCCTTGCCTTGCTGGTTTGAATTCACAATCCTCCTGTCTCAGCCTCCCAAGCCATTGGTATTACAGGTGTGTGCCACCACACCTGGCTAGTTTTTATTTTCATATAAATTTTAAACTTTCAGAAAAGTTGCAAAACACTAAAAGGAAATCTCATACTCAACTGAGATTCACTAGTTGTTTGCATTTTGCCTATTTTCTCTGTTGGTAACCATGAGCCAAATAACACCAGGAACATATCTGTAACCAAAGGCATTTAATTTTATTTTAGCTTGCTGCAACAAGGGAACCCACACACTGTTGGGAATCAGGCCTGGGGTCTCTTGGTAAGAGGCAGTTAGGAGGAGCTGGTTGTAGCGTTTTGACTTGTATAAGCTGAGATGGGGAGAAGTGTAGGCAGTGAGTTTGTTCTGGATTTGATGATGTCAATAATCAGAAGTAATTTGATGGGGCTGGGGATGTGGCTCAAGCGGTAGCGCGCTCGCCTGGCATGCGTGCGGCCCGGGTTCGATCCTCAGCACCACATACAAACAAAGATGTTGTGTCCGCCGAGAACTAAAAAATAAATATTAAAAAATTCAAAAAAAAAAAAAAAAAAAAAAGAAGTAATTTGATGACCAAGTATTCTAATAATTTTTCCCTAGGAGGTGGGAGAAACCAAACAGATTAGAGTTTTCACTAGTAATGAAGTGGTCACTCATGTTAGTCAGGAGAAACAGTTATTTGGTTATTTTTTGTTACTATAGAATGTGCCTCTGTGTTGGAATGTCTTCTTTTCTTTCTTGTGCATCACTATCACTGAATGGCCTTGCCTCATTTTTGTTGGTCAGCTGGAAACATCAAGTATTGGCCCTTGCCACTACTAGCTATTAGAGCTTTTTTTTTTTTTTCTTTTCTACAGCTTTATGTATATATACGTATACATATGTGTTTGTATACTTATATATACACATTTTTTTCCCCAACTACTAAAACAAACTGGAGACAATGATTAAAATGAAATTAATTACATTGATAGCATACTGTTATCTAACTCACAATTCATAGTTAAATTCATTCAACTTTCTCAATAAAGTTGTTGTTCTCAGAGTCTTTGAGAACACTTCACCCCCAGGTCAGAGATTAGCCCAGTTTTATTGCACATTGCACATAAGTTTTTTATTGCATTGAACATAAGTTTTTGTTTCATTAGTCACTTTAATCTAGAATGATTCCTCAAACTTTTTCTTTTTTTGCTTTGGATATTTTTGTAAAGTATTGGCAAAGTATTTTGTGGAATGTCCCCACTCTTTTTAGTTTATTTGGTATTTGTTCATGATAATCAGGCTGTGTATTATCAGCAGAAGTGCCACAGAAGTGAGCAGGCTTCCTTCTCTGTGCATGATGTAAGTCAGATGTCACTCAGTGGTGGTCTCAGGTTTGTTCTTTTGGCTAAGGGCTAATACTTGATGTTTCCAGCTAAACAACAGGTTATCTTTTTCCTCAATACTTTGAGATTATGTAGCTATCTTTTTCCTCACAAACGTCAACCAACTTTTAGCACTCATCAGTGATTTTCTAGTTATTTTTTATTCTAAATGTATTAGTGTATGTGTTTTATAGAAAGGACTTTTTCTCTTCTCATTTATTTGTTACACATTATTTATAACAATATGAACTCAGATTTCTATCTTTCTCACTTAAACAGAGTGTAGATTGTCACACTTTTTATTGCAATATCTTAATTTTATCAGTTTCTTTACCTCTATGCATATGTGCTAAAAGGGTACTTCCCACTTAAAAAGGAATAGCAAAGGCTGGGGGTGTGGTTCAGGAGTAGAGCATGTACAGTGTCCTGGGATAAACCCCTGGAACCACAAAACCAAAAGGAAACATCACAGATTTCTATACTTTTTAAAGTTTTCCTAATCAATTTAAATACTGTTGTTGGTCTTCGAGTATACTTTAGTGGTAAAGTATTTGCTTAACATTCATGAAGCTTTAGGTACAATCCCCTGCACAGAATAATAATAGTAATAGTAATAGTAATAGTAATAGTAATAATAATATTGTTGTTGGGGTAGCAAATTATTAAAGACAACCAAATATTTTTTAGAAGTTTTAAGAGATTTTCACATCAAAGAGGGCAACAACATGTGAGCTCCGTGTATCTTAAAATATTTGTAGCAAGTACCTTTGCTTATTTGCAAGGAGCAACCACATGGGTTAGTTACATACTTTCTCAGTTTCTGATGATTTCTCTCTTTTTCCAGTTCTTCTTCTTAGGACTCTGCACTCCCTGGAAAGATAAATTAAAGATGAACACATTCAAGGTGAGTAGAACTTACCTTTCTCACTACTAAAAGTGCCTCTTTAAAAAGTGCTCAGAGATTGGAAGTGTTTCAAAGCAAGTCAAGTCATGAGGAGCTGCAGAATGTACCAGGTGCTTGTTTTGTCCCTTTTAAGTTTAGCTGGTTGGTATTAGTTCTTGTTTTATTTCATTTTTTACTTTACAAATAAAAGTCTATAGATTAATGGACAGGTATGCTCATAGTTATATGTTTCTGTTCATAACAGATACAATTTTACTTAATCTCATGTATTCTTTTTCTATGCTGGGAGTCAAATCCAGGGCATTGTGCATGATAGGCAAGCTCTCTGCCACTGAGTTATATCCCCAAGCCCCTAAATGCTTCATGTTTTCTATTTTTGTTGTTGTTGTTGTTTAATGTTATACAAATTTATTTTTAATTGCTTTACTAAATTTCCACCAAATTTATATACCCAGTTCTTAAACTATTCTCTATGTAAACATTTATTTTAGTTAGCACTTTCACTGTTTCAAGAACATTATAGTGAACAGTGTTCCTATATTTAGCTTTTTCTGAAAAGTCAATTTTGAAAAATACTGCAGTTTTAAAGGGATTCTTAATATACTAGGTGTTCAGAATTGAAAAGATATGTCCTACATGTGGTACCTTAGATATTTTGGGTAGATTTAAATACAGCCCAATGCATCAGATTTGACTACTGCTTCACATAGAAAAACATTGCTCAACATTTTCTTACCACAAGATTTAGATTCTGTCTTTCCCATGCCTGAGTCATACTCTGGGTATATTTCATTTACTGATCTATTTTTTTTCCTCTGTGGGTTTGGTACTAGCAATTGAACCCAGGGGCGCTTGACCACAGAGCCATATCCCTATCTCTTTTTAAATTTTTTTAGATTTTGAGACAGAGGCTGACTATGTTGCTGAAGCTAGCTTTGAATTTGGAATCCTCCTGCCTCAGTGTCTTGAGTTACTGGGACGTGTGCCTGGCTTTTAAATTTTTCTTCTTTTTTTTTTTTGTCCAAGTAATATATGACATTAATGTAAAAAGTCTAATGTAAAAAGTGGCACTAGAGAACTTGCCAGGCACTTATGCTCTATCACTGCATTTATGCCTCAGAGCAACTGTATGAGGAGGTACTGTGTTTCCTCTTCATTTTAAACATAAATAAAAGTGGCTGTGAAAAGTATTCACATGGAATACTAAAGATCTAAGGTGAAGGTATCAGGTTCTAGTAAAAGATGGAGAGACTTGACATTCCCTTTGGTTTATTTCAACCTATACACTATTTAAAGTCATCTGGCTCCGACCTCAGTGGGAAGGCAGCTGCTATCAGGCACTGTTGGAATTTAATTGATGAACAATTCTGAGGAAATTGGAAATCTTAATTAAAATGTTTACATTTACATCCATTAGATTTCTAGGGAGCTTACTTATTATAGTATAAGCACCAGGTCTCTTTTTCATAGTAGCATTTTTGGTAAGGCTGAGGAAAATCAGTGTATGGCATCAATGAGATAGAAGGAAAAGGGCTGGGAAACCTACACATGGCTCAGAGTCCAGTGAAACCTCCCACCCATTATTTTTCTCTTCTCAGTGCTATCCCTCTTCCAGTGGACACTGTAAGATTGAAGTCATGTGTGTGTGTTGTAGGAAGCTGTGACTTTCAAGGATGTTGCTGTGGCCTTTACTGAGGAGGAGCTGGGACTGCTGGATCCTGCCCAGAGGAAGCTGTACCAAGATGTGATGATGGAAAACTTCAGGAACCTGGTCTCAGTGGGTGAGGCCTCCCTCTCAAATAACTCTGGTGACCTTGGCATTTTAATGCTTTGATGCTCTTGAAATAGTTCCCAGACTTTCCTAATTCCTGTGGGCTATAGAAGCAGGATGTTTCTGATTTTTAAAGAATGATACATGGACAGTATATTACTATTCCTTGCCTATTCTTTTTCAAATTTTGCTTCTGTCCCATTATTGAATTTTAAAACCAATTTATTGAATCCTGTCAGCAATTTTTAATTAAATAAAAGAGGGTAGGAAATATTGGTGCTCCTTAGGAAGAATGGTACACATTCTAGCAAAAACTGGCTAACTGCATGAATGGTGTAAGGGTCAGTAGAAAGAAATTTAACAAAAACAGACATTAGATAAGTCATTCAGCTGGACATGGTGGTGTGTGCCTGTAATCTCAGCTACTTAGTCGCTGAGGGAGGAGGATCATGAGTTGGAGGCCAGCATCGGCAACTTAGTAAGACCCTGTCTCAAAGTTTAAAAAAGGGCTGGGAATGTAGCTCAGTGGTAAGAATGCTTGCCTACCATGAATGAGGCCCTGGGTTTAATCACTAGTATCTTCAAAAAAGAAGAAGAAAAGAAAAGGAAAGAAAAATATCATTCAGACTTTTTGTATTGTATGTTTTGTACACATATTTGGTTCATGAAATAAATTATATTTTGTGGTGCCAGGGATTGAACTCAGGGCCTTGTGCATGGAAGGCAAGCACTCTTCCAACTGAGCTATGTCCCAGCCCACATGGGTGATGTTTTTTTTTTTTAAAAAGTGTGATAAACACTATTTTCAGTGTCTTGAATATACATTTGTAACTGTTTCCAGTAAATTTTAGCTCTACCTTGTCATTTAAACTTATGACTTTGCCTGTTCATAGAGCATCAGTTCTTCAAACGAGATATATCATATGCAGAAAGAGAAGAAAAGCTTTGGATGATGAAGACAGCAACCCAAAGAGAGACAAGTTTAGGTAAGGACCAAGCAGTTTTGAATCTTTATAGTTAACTGTCCATCTCTTTTGTTCTCATCACCCCTGTTGCTGTCACCTGGTACAACTTGCAAACTCTTTCCTGGATTATTGCAGCAACCTTGGTACTGACTGCTCTCTCCCTTTCTTCCCCTTCTACAGTCTATTCTCTGACATGGCACTCAGAGTGATCCTTTGTAGCCTTAAGTTAGAGTGTGAGATATTCCTCTGCTCAGAATTCTCTTGTGGCTTATTTTACTTAGAGTAAATCCACATTTTATGGGTGTTCAGATTTATACACCTTTAGAAGACATTTAACATAGTGACACCATTATTGCTTGTGATGATTCTCTGATCATTTCTAGTCTGTTCTAAACATTTATCACTAGCTATTAAATTTTTTGCACATTTCATTAATGGTCTGAATTTATCAGTTTGGAAAACATTTTTGTCAAAGGCAAATATCTCTGCATCTAAAATTTTCTGTACTTTGCTTTCAAAGAGTCAGCATTCTTCTTGCCTCTGAATCTTGACTCTTGCTTGAGAAAGTAGAAACATGTTAGAAAGATTGTATAAAGGCCTTAGAAAAATTCTGGGCATGTGGCTTAGTGGTAGAGTTCTTGCCTGGCAAGTCTAAGACTCTGAGTTCAATTCCCAGCACTGCAAAAAAAGAGGAAGGGAAAAAGGAAGAAAGGAAGTAAGGAAATCTTTAGAATGCTCTAGTACACAAATCTTCATGCTTTTCTTTCACCCCAAGTGATTCTTACCATCTTTTATTTTGTCCTCAGCATTAACACACTTGGTGTACCCCTGCTTCATGTACAGCTTTGTGCCTTCTCAGCAAAACTGCACTTTCCATTCTTTTTGGATTTTGTATACTTTACTTTAAAAACAAAAACAAAACAAAACAAAAACCCCTTGCATCTGATCTAGCTCAAACTTGGATTTGGAATTATGAGAATCCCAGAAGTCAAATTGTGATTTATCTGTGCATCCATTGCTTGAACACCTACTAAATGCCAGTACTATTCTGGGCAGTAGTTATAAAACTCTGAGCTCCATTTTGTCCTTATTGGTACTGTGTTGTAATAGGAATGACTTGAAATTTTAATGAAAAGATTTAGTATGTCAGTAATTGTGTTCTTAAATGAGTTTCAGTAATGCTTAGTAGTTGGGAGCTTAATGGACCATCTCTTGGTTTCTGCCAGTAAACCAAAAGCCTTCATGTATGGTGAAAAACTGGACCAGGGATGTGATTCAGTGGTTAAGTGCCCCTGGGTTCAAAAAAAAAAAAAAAAAGGAATGTCATATATGGTGAAAAACTGTGCTAAACCATCCTGAGTTTTGTTAATGTCTCTTACTGTTCCTAAGTGAATCTTCAAGTAAAGCTTTTACTTGTTTGTGTCTCTGAATTCTGTTTTTATAGGAGAGAACAATCAAAGTGAGTTAAGGACTGTTCAAGACAGAGAATCCCATGAAAAACTTTCCTGCTGGCAAATCTGGCAACAAATTGCAAATGACTTAACCAGGTGTCATGGCACCATAATAAATAATACTCAGGTCCACAAACAGTGTTATTCCCCCTGCCAGGTTGGGACAGGACTACCTGTTCAAATTTCTGAAGATGAAAATTTTAAACAGAATCATAAAGCTGATGGTCCTAGCCATACTGAAGACTCAGAGTTTCCAACTTTGAGAATCCAGGATTCTTGGAGGAAAACTTCCATGATTGAATCACAGAATTATCAGGGTAGATATCAACAGATTTCCATGAAAAATAAACTCTGTCAGTACAAACAGAGTATTGACCCCATCAGTTGGATTTCACATCACCATGATGATCTTAAAGTAGACAAAAGTGAAAAATCGTATGGCCTCAATGAATATGGAAAAGAGAGCCTAAAGATTTTGACACTTTGTAAGCATAGAATGACTCCCCCAGAACAGAAGCCTTACAAGTGTAATGTGTATAAAAAAGGCTTCAGTGATTTCTCCAGCTTTGATCCTCAGCAGCAATACTCAGGAGAGGAGTCTCAGACATGTACTGAATGTGGAAAAGGTTTCCATGACAGCTCAGTTCTTTGTGTTCATCTGAGAGTTTGCATGGAAGGAAAACATAAGTGTAATGAGTGTGGTAAGGAATTCAGCCAGAGCTCACATCTGCAAACCCATCAAAAAGTCCACACAAGAGTAAAACCATACAAATGTGAGCATTGTGGGAAAGCTTTTAGTCGTAGATCAGCACTTAACGTTCATTGTAAAGTCCACACTGGAGAGAAACCTTATAATTGTGAGGAGTGTGGGAGGGCCTTCAGTCAGGCCTCTCATCTTCAAGATCATCAAAGACTCCACACTGGGGAGAAACCATTCAAATGTGATGCTTGTGGTAAGAGTTTTAGTCGGAATTCACATCTTCAGTCCCATCAGAGAGTACATACAGGAGAGAAACCATACAAATGTGAGGAATGTGGGAAGGGCTTTATTTGTAGCTCAAATCTTTATATTCATCAGAGGGTCCACACAGGAGAAAAACCCTATAAGTGTGAGGTATGTGATAAAGGTTTTAGTCGGCCTTCAAGTCTGCAGGCCCATCAGGGAGTACACACTGGAGAAAAATCATACATATGTACTGTGTGTGGTAAAGGCTTTACTCTAAGTTCAAACCTTCAGGCTCATCTGAGAGTCCACACTGGAGAGAAACCATACAAATGTGAGGAGTGTGGGAAGAGCTTCAGGAGGAACTCCCACTATCAAGTTCATCTAGTGGTCCACACAGGGGAGAAGCCCTATAAATGTGAGGTGTGTGGGAAGGGCTTCAGTCAGAGTTCCTATCTTCAAATCCATCAGAAGGCCCACAGCATAGAGAAACCTTATAAGTGTGAAGAGTGTGGGCAGGGGTTCAATCAGAGTTCACGACTTCAGATTCACCAGCTGGTCCACACTGGTGAGAAACCATACAAATGTGAGGAGTGTGGAAAGGGATTCAGTCGAAGAGCAGATCTTAAAATTCATTGTAGAATCCACACAGGAGAAAAACCATATAATTGTGAGGAATGTGGGAAGGTCTTTAGGCAGGCCTCAAATCTTTTGGCCCATCAGAGAGTCCATAGTGGAGAAAAACCATTTAAATGTGAAGAGTGTGGGAAGAGCTTTGGTCGGAGCTCACACCTTCAAGCCCATCAGAAGGTCCATACTGGAGACAAGCCATACATATGTGAGGAGTGTGGGAAGGGCTTCAAGTGGAGCTTGAATCTGGACATGCATCAGAGGGTCCACACAGGAGAAAAACCATATAAGTGTGGGGAGTGTGGGAAGCACTTCAGTCAGGCCTCAAGTCTTCAGCTCCACCAGAGTGTCCACACTGGAGAGAAACCATACAAGTGTGATGTGTGTGGTAAAGTCTTCAGTCGGGCTTCACAGCTCCAGTCTCATCAGAGAGTTCACACAGGGGAGAAACCTTACAAGTGTGAGATATGTGGTAAGAGCTTCAGCTGGAGATCAAATCTTACAATTCATCACAGAATTCATGTCAGTGATAAGTCCTTTAAAAGAGATAGTAAGAATAAAGAATCCACACGGGAAGAAAGTTCTATAAAATGATGTTTTTTGGAAGACTCAAGTGTCATGTGAATCCTTCAGTTCCCCCCAAAAAGAAATTTGTTTAATTGAATTCAGTGTTTCAGCCTTAGCTCTTCATGTCCCAGTGGTTCAGAGCACATGAAGGAACTCTCATCATTGGTATACTAAAGGTTTCAGTCAGAACCTTGAACTTTCCCAAGTGCTACTCAGAAGAGAGACCTTAGGATGAGTTTTATCAGGGATTTTGCAAATAGTATTATCATTGACATGCCAAAGTTAGTGTCTGCTGGAACGATAATTTATTTCATAAATGGAGAGACTGCTGAATCTGCATAATCTTAGCATTGCTGAGTACTTCATTGGTACTATATTTAATAAATGGGGAAAATGTGTAACTGAAAATTGCATTGGAATTACATACAGAATATTGCAAATTTGTAATCAGAATTCTGAGATGTGAAAGTAACCATAATAAAAGTAAGAGAGACAGTTGAAAGGTAGAAAAACACTCAGTACTTCAAACTACAATGTTTATTTGGTATTAGCCCCATTATGATTATCACCTGTCCTCTGCCAGACTTTCTTAAGAAGCTGTGTCCTATCTTATTGGACTTTGCCTAGTGTTCTTTTGTTTTATACAGTATATTCAGTTATTTTTGTGACAATATAGAATGAAAATGAATCTTGTTCATCTTGGAATGGTAGGACTCTATCCTACTATTGATATTTTTTTTAAATATGTTTTTGGTCATAGAGGGACACACAATAATTATTTATTTTATTATTAATTTATTTTTTATGTGGTGCTGAGGATCAAACCAGTGCCTCACACATGCCTGGCAAGTGCTCTGCCACTGAGCTACAGTCCTAACCCCAACTATTGGTTATTTTCAACACCATTAAGACAGAGGTTTGTCAGAAGTTACTCCTGACAGATGTTTTTCATAGTATTGTTGGAATTGATCATTTTCTTATTTTCTACATTTTCATCTGTTCTAATGGCTTTAATAAGTTTAATCAAACATGTTGCTTCTTGGGGCATTGATGACTCAATTTTTCCTAGCAGTGGAAATGAAGGAGGAGCAACTTGGAAAAAGAATTGGTCAGGATGCAGAATGTGCATCCTTTGGTAGAACAGAAACTTACTACTAGGAGATTCAAATGAGTAGGAAGCACATCATTGAGGTTGCTGACTCTCTAAACATGGAAGTAAGCATTCACCAATATGAATTAATTTTTTAATTTAAAATTATACGTAAATTGTACATATTGGTGGTATGCTGTATGATGCTTCAATTAGTAATTTAAATAATTGTTTAAACTTATCTGCAATAACATCATTTAAAATGATGGCCAAGACTTATGACAATACAAGAATAAATTTAATGTAGTGTAGGGAGAGCACCTTAAACTGGTGTGTGTCCATGTGCACATCCAGTCATGTGTGACAGGTTATTTACCTTACATAATAAACAGCAAGGAGAATCTTCAGGGATTTTTCCACATTTAGCTTTTGCATTTTAAAATTTTCAGTGAGAATTTTTGTAATGAAATACTGTAAGTTCACAGTAACACTGGTAGTAAAACTATATCAAATAAAATTTGAAATATTACTAAGAATATGTTAATGCCTTAGGGTTAATGAAACATAGCATATAAGATCAAAATTAAGAAATAAACTCTGGAAATCAGTTATTTTTTAAAAATGGTATACTTGTTCAAACATACGTTAGTGAGTGTGAATATCTATTTTCAGTTAATACACTTGAATCTCCTTGGGCATAAATCCATGCAGAGAGGTGTTTTTCCAGTAGTAGAAATTCATGCATCCTTGTTCTTGTGAGACTTGCCGGATAAATACAGAGTCCAGGGCACTACCTTGTCCTTTTTGGTGCTTGATCTGATTGGGGAAGTAGCTGAATTTTTCCAGACAGTGTGTGCCAAAGAGAATCTTGAGCTGTGGGGAAAAGGAATAGTATGCAGGCTGTTTACAAAGTAACAGGGTGAGGCAGATCCTGAAGATGGAGAGTGGAAATATTTAAGTTCTGGAGGTGTACGTAGAGAGGACAGCCTGACTCAGTGGAGCCTAGTGATGGGACCAAGCAGCTATGCAGGGTTGAAGAGCAGTTTTTAGGCAATTCAGTTATCTTGGCTTTGGGGCGCTCTTCAGCAAAGGGTACATGTCATGAGAAAAGCTAAGTATGGAAAGACTATGCTACCTCAAGTCGTGCCACATATCACAAATCCTGAGTCTTTGATGTTTTGTATGTTCTTAGTAGGTATATCAGGATAGCTTACCAACTCTCAAGGTGATTTGTAGTTTAACAGGTTCAACTAGAGGTTGGCACATTACCTCCTTTTGTACAGATCCAGTCCAGAGCATTTGAAGCTATGTTGGAATATGGCAGTGCCTAATTTATTTGTTGTCTATGCTGCTTTCTTGCTATGGAGATAGTTTAGTTGTTGTGGCACACTATAGCCACAAAACCTAAAGTATTTACATTCTGACCTTTTATAGAAGAACTTTGTTGACCACTGTGTTAAACCAAAATGATTGGTCTTTCATAACTGAAAAGATCACATGTAGTTCAGGGTTTAGACCTGGTTCAGTCAGGATTCCCAAATGATTTCCTTTTGGTTCTTATATCTGCCTTTCTGATTTACTTTATTTCTTAGGTTGGTGCAAAGATGGCAGTGGCAGCTGGGGACTACCTGCTTCTTCACAGCTGATGGGAGACAGCTGCATTTTTCATTTGTAGTGTTTGGTAGTTCACTCTTTACTCCCAATGTACATAGTATTCTGACCTTGACTCCCATCTATGGTCAGGATTAAACTTCTAGCTGTGTGTCTAGCTCCCTTGGCCTTTGTGGGCTATTGAGTTTCAACTCCCACTTGGCCTTCATGGCCTTGAGTTTTGGACCTCTGGAAGGTTTTTCTATTTTTGAGTTTTGACTACATACAAATATTTTAGGGAACTTTATATAGTATCAGCATATCTTTGTTGTTGAGAATAGAGGTACCAATAAGAAATTCAGTCAGTGGTTGAATGGCAACACATTGAATTCACAAACAGGCCTAAGGTCACAAGACATCAATTTTAAGTAGAAAATCCTGAAAAACTGGAATGGGAACATACAGCAGTAGGGCTGAGGGCTTTCACTTCCACACTTATCTAAGACCCTCCTTTGCCATTAGTAGGAGCTCCATCCTCCCCACTCTATGGACTGAAGAACCTATAATAACCTTTCCCAAGATAATTGGTCTTGCAAGGAGCTATAGATCTTTAAGACTTGCCTCCTTTACCTCTAGTATTTTTAGACCTATAATAAGTTCTCACAGGCAATGAGGAAAGGAGTCTTCAGGTAAAAAGTATGACTATGGGGGCTGGGGTTATGGCTCAGTCTTAGAGTACTTGCCTAGGATGAGTGAGGCTCTGGGTTTGATCCTCAGCACCACAAACAAACAACAACAAATAAATAAGATAAAAATGAAATTCTTTTTAAAAAAGTATAACTATGACACTATATTAGGCCAGCCAAAATAATGATTTTTAGATTTTGTATCAATAGAAACCTTAGAAAAATATATGGTTGCAGGGCATGGTGGCACATGCCTATAATCCCAGCTACTTAGGAGGCTGAAGCAGGAGGATCCCAAGTTTGAGACCAGTGTCAGAAATTAGCAAGACCCTGTCTCAAAAATTAAAAAGGTCTGGGGATATAGTTGAATAGTAGAGTGCCCCTAGGTTCAGTCCCCCGTACTGCAAACCTGTGTGTGTGTGTGTGTGTGTGTGTGTGTAAAGAGAGAGGGAGGGAGAGTGTGTGTGTTTTGTACTTTAGGACATAGAAGTCAGTGGAAAGAATACAGTGATAGATTTGTTGGTGTGGATACACTGAACAGTGATTGCAGACCCACTATGTTAGCTTGAGCACCTGAGGATGTCTTCAACAGTTTGTTGAAAAGAGAAGTTGGCTAACCCTTAAGTTAAAACACTAGAACTTTGTAAGTATGTCATAGAACAGTTTCTCGACGTTGGCACAATCAACATTTTAGACTGGATAGCTCTGTTTTGGGGGGATTTTCTGCATCATAGGATGTTTACCAGCATCATTGACCACTAGCCACTAAATGCCCATGCATGCATGTCAGTTGTAATAGACAAAAATGTCTAGACACCTACTCAGGTGTTCCCAGAGGGCAAAAATCACTCCCAACTGAGAACACTGTTGTAGATGGTATACAAAGACATAGGAATGCTGACATGCTGGAAGAGATTTGACATAGAAAACCTGCTCACCCAACCCTGTATGGGCCTAGGAGTGTGGTGTCCAGAGGACACTCTTTACAAAAGGTATGAGAAATTCCCTGGGGAGGGGATCATTGGCATCTCAGAGAGCTCTGTAGCGACTCTTCTTATGGACCAGGAATAAAAGTGGGGAATTTTGACATACAAATGGAAACTTGATGATGTGAGGATAATGGGATCCTGGAATGTCCAGAGTCAAGTAGGGGTACCTCATTGGCAGAGACAAAGTAATTGTGTTTATCATAATGATCAGAAAAGCAAAGGATCATCAGAATGGGTTAATAGGAAGAGATTTCTGCATTCACTCATTGACTGTGGCATCCCTTTGGCTACAGTAGATTAGAAATCTTGATTTGGTTAATTGGAAAAGCTCTAGATCTGGTAAATCAACTTAAGAGAGAATTGTGTCCCTTCATCTAAATTCTGTAATGTGAGTTACCACTTCCAGAGTACCTTGAATGAACGGCAGATCAGGTCCTCTTGAGGAAGTACCCTTGATATGCTACCCAAACTGAACTGTTTTATACTACTATAAATCATTCTAGCTTTCCCCAAAAGTGACTTGCAGCCATAGTTTGTGTGTATATATATTAGGTACATGGAAACAAATCAGAATTCAGAGTTACTACTGGAAACTACAGCTAAATTGACATTAACTTTTAGAACCCCAAAATGTCATTGTGGTTTTCCAGTTAGTAGAGAGATTAGAGACAACAAAAAAGTTAACGGATGTTTTTGCTCAGGTCCGAATGAATCCGTGAACCAATCCTATGATTATTTCCCAAACTCCAGAATGCAGAGTTGGAATAGAAATACTCAACAACTTGCAGAATCCTTGTATTGATTCCCTGACACATGGATGAGGGCTATTCTGGTAAGAAAGGGTAAAAAAATGCCTTGTATGTACCAAAATAGTAAAAGAAAATGAAAATGACGTTCAGAGGGATCAGTGGCATCAGCAGTATCTTGAAAGTTTCAGGGTTCATGATTTTTGTCACACCCTCATTTATTCACTCTGACTTATGCAGAGGATAAGTGAGTCTCAGAGAATGACAGGAAATTATTTTATTTGTTTTTATTTTATTTATGTATTATACTTAGTTGCATATGACAGCAGAATGCATTTCAACTCATCAAACACAAATGTAGTACAACATTTCAATTCTCTGGTTGTACACAAGGCAATTATTTTAAATTTAACCTAGAGTTGATACCAGTTGCAACTCCAGGATGTGGTGGTATTGCTGGAGCAAATCAACATGTGTGCTGGCACTGACATAGCTTTAAACTGATATGTGCTTTCTTCATTACACCTAATAGTAAATATTCAAAATCTAGTTTTATCTGATAAGGACATCAATGCACTCTTATAGTCCCAGCTTAAGGTAACATCAGCTTTCTAATATTTTCACATTTATCCAAGGTTTGGTAAACTGTGGTCCACAGACCTAATTTGGCTGCCAGTTGTTTTTGTAAATAAAATTTCATTAAAACATAGCCATGACCACTTTTTACATGGATGTTTTTGTACTAAAATGGCAAAGTTGTGAATCTAAAAAGCCTAAAACTTTTACTATCTGGCTCTTTCTATAATTTCTGATTTCTACTCTAGTTTGTAGAAATATTAGTTGTCTCTCCATTTCCCAGGACATCATACCAACCCAATATGATGAAAAAATTATGTGTTACATACACACACACACACACACACACACTCTGCAGATTGTACTTTGTAGGCAGGAAGAAGTAATCACAAAAGACATCTTGGTTAGACATATGCATAACTGTATACTAGAAATAACAAAATATTATTAAAATGGAATAAATTGCCTATATTCAGAAATTTACAAGGATTGTTTCAAAAATGTGAATATAGAAGGGATTAATAGATGGGAAAGAGAAATTAGAAGATTCTAGGCATGGAAACCATATTTAATAAAAGAAAAAAAGTGTTTTTGGATAAGAGAGTCTATGTGATTAATAAGAGGGTTTAAGTAAGTGATAAAGAAGGTCTGTATATTCCCTGACACATGGAATGAGGGCTATTCTGGTAAGAAATGGTAAAAAAATGCCTTGTAAGTTCTGGCTATATATGTTTTTTGATCAAGTAATTTTGAAGGAATTAAGGATTATACAATGGTGGTTAAACAACAACTGTTAGTTTGCAATATTGTAATATATTATTTCTTAAAGAGCTAAACTTGATTAATATAAAAACATCAATGTAATTGTGGTGCTATTACTCTTCTTTGTATATTAATATGTTCATATTTTCCAGGCATATGTCTTTAAGATTGAAGCTTTAAAAGAGAATTATATCAAGCTGGTGTTCTCCAAATAGTTGCATGGTAATTTTAGGCTTATAAGAATAAGATAGTGGAGATTTATTTATATCATTTAATGTTCTATAACTAGACCTATTATCAATAAGATTAATATAAAGTTCTATACACTGGGATACAATTTAAATGTAATATCATATTTTGTTAGCCAATATTCAAGTGACTTCAAGCAACAATATATGTAAATTTTCAAAATTATATTTAAGAAGCAAAGATCAGCTTCAATATTATAACACTTTACCTAAGATTTATAAAGAGCCCTGCCTTACCTGAGATAAGGCTCTGCCTCCCATCTTATTACATGTCAGAATGACTGACTACACAGTCAGCCAGACTTCAGTTAAAGTGCAGTACTCTTAATTTAAGACTGGTGAGACTGACTTGCTGGATATTTAAGATGAAGACTTAAATTAAAAGGTCTAAATTAACCAATATTTGGCTCTTACCCTCTGAGTCAGTCTGAATACAGGGAACAGGGAACTTCTCTAAAGAGCTTTTCAACTCTGGGCCACATAACCTCCTGATCAGGGAGATCAATGAGATCACTGGAGAATGAAAAGCCAATCAGTGCACTTGCTGTGAATAGGAAGGTCATTGGAGAAAGGAGACATCCCTGATGCTTCCAAGGGAAGCCACATGGTCAAGCAAGACTTGGATCCATCCTAGTACAAATGGCACTAGCAGAACTAAGAAGCTGCTCTCAAGTTCTCCCACGAGTGACCCCTATGGAAACTTGGCTGACTCTTAACAATAGATAGAAACAAAGTCAATTTTGCCCAGTTTGATCTTAAACACCTAACAAAATCAGTTAAACCCAAACACAGTCATTCCTGGGGGTAATGAAGGACAAGAACAGCTAGAAAAGAGGAGACAGTAGCAAGGCCAACAGTCTCCATGGGGAATGTTCAGTCAAGTATGGCCTTGGCTCCTCCCCATCATAGGGCCCCTATTAGTCCTCTTTATGTTTCTCCTAATAGGACCATGTCTATTAAATTGCCTACAGAAGTTCCTACAAGATCAGATGTGGGGAGCCACTCTGAATGATTCGCATCTTCTGTCTTAGAGCGGAAGGCCTTGACCATCACTACATTTTGTAGTGACTTGAACATTGCTCCCATTTTGGAAGTTTAAGGATGCGTCTTCAGACGTAGGATCTGCACTACAGCCCTTGGGTTCAATTACACCCACATGTTCCTTGTAACTCCACTCCTTCTTACCTTTTTTGGGTGGAACTTTCTAAGAATGAGGGTCCTGCTAATAAAAGCCCACTTCTGAATGTACTTGCACTCTCTTTCTCACCAGTCTCTCATGAGTATCCCTCGCTCTCCCATTTGGGGACCTTGAGGTTGAGAGCGGAGGAACCATCCTGAAGCTTGCTTAAAGGTAAAGTGTGTGTCTATTTTATCTGGTGTCCCTAGAAATTCACATGAGCAACCTTAAGTTCAGCTGCCCCCACAGCCCAAGGGGCAGCAGGTGGCTCCTGAACAGGGACTGCTTGGGGGTGAATTTCTAGGTTGACTGAGAGAGCGTGCTATAAAAATTTAGTGAACTGTGATTCTTTAGGGGATCACAGAGGAAGCAGACAGTTTCAGAGCCAGAGTTTTTAAAGAATTATCATGGGCAGTTCCATGTTTTCAGATGAAGAAATGTATTTAATAATTCTGGAGACAATAACCAACAAGAGAGGTAAACAAGTCAGAAGGACCCAGCTAGCTCAGTTCCTGAAAGCGGTTAGTGAAGTGTGCCCGTGGTTTTGTCAGCAAGACTCACCAGATTTACATACTTGGGAGAGGCTAGGTAGAAAATTATATAAAGGCTGCCTCTCTGTCAAGCTGTCCAAAAGTACAATAGAGAGGGATGGGGATGTGGCTCAAGTGGTAGCACGCTCACCTGGCATGCATGGGGTGCTGGGTTCGATCCTCAGCACCACATTAAAAAAAATAAAGATCTTGTGTCCACTGAAAACTAAAAAATAAATATTAATAAAATTCTCTCTCTCTCTCTCTCTCCCCCCTCTCCCCATCTCTCCCTCACTCTCTCACTCTCTCTTTTTAAAAAAAAGTACAATAGAGAGTGTTCAGAAGGTCTGGACCATTTTAGAAACCTAAAATCAAAAGTTTGGTGTCCTCTGAGCTGGTCAGACCCAGCAGTTTAGAGGAGCACCAAGGGGCATGTTCCAGAGAGGAAACTAGCTCAAATCAGATTTTGGTGAGGCAGATACAAAATGCAAAGGAACAAGATGGACAGGAAGATACAGATGAAAAAGAGTCACATTCTGAGGGGACTGAATCAGAAGGTGAGGACGACCTGGAGGAGGGTTTTACTAAATTACATCTAGCTGGCGTGGCACCTGCCATCCAAATTCAGCCACTCTTCTGCGGGAGAACAGGGTTCAATAATTACTCTGAACTGGCAATTGCCATGCTTACACCCCTACAACGTGGCCTTAGAAAAGCACAGGAAGCAGGGGAATATATTGCAGGTTTTCAGCTTTTGATCAGATGAACAAACAAAACCAGCATGTCCGCGTGCACGCTGCAGTTCCCTTTAAGACTCAAAAGGAACTCAAAAGCGCTTGCGGTACCTATAGTCCAAACTCACTCTTTGTGCAAAAACTGCTTGATTCATTATGCCACGAGTCTCTAACCCCCAAAGACTGGGATTTCAATGACAAAGGTTTGCCTTTTTGGGGGTGATTATCTCCTTTGACAATCTCACTAAACTGATTATTGTACTGAACAGGCTGAGAGGAATAGGAGGCAAGGCTTTGTTTGGTCCCCCTTTGGAGATGTTGGGGAATTTGTGGACCTAGAGAGACAATTGAATTATAATCTAGCCATTTATGATCAGATCACTGCATGTGCATAAAAAGCATGGCTCCAGATATCTTCCTGGGATGAAGCAAAATTAGATTTTAGCCAGATAAAACATGGATCAGAAGAACAATTCTCTGATTTCATAGCGTGCCAGTACCAGGCAGCTAACAGGTCAATCAGAGATTCAAATACCTCAGAATTCATAGTTAAACAGCTAGCATTTGAAAATGCCAATAAGGTTTGTCAGTATATCCTCCGAACCAGTTGGAAGAAAGGAACAATTTCTGAATTTATTCACCTTTGTGTGGATGTTGGTCTTATGCAATTATAAGGTTTTATGCTCACTGCGGCTTTAAAACAGGTACTCAGCCCAATCCCAGAGATGCCATTATCGTGGGCGGTGTTTTAATCATGGCAGGACTGGGCATTTGGTGCGGGACTGGGCAATTGGTGCAGGACTGGGAATCTCTGTGCAATAGGGCAAAAACCTCATTGGCAGCATTAGCAGACAGAAAGCCGCGTGACAAGGGGGGATGAGAACAGATATGGTGGTGGCCCGCCTGCATTTCTAACTTCACTTCTGCCTCCTTTGGGGCCAAAAACTGGAGGGCGGGGTCTACCCCAGGCCTAACAAATAATGGGGGCTCTGCAGTATGTGTGGGAAGAGGAGTCAGAGTGGCAGGCCTTGATGTCATCACAGCCAGCCATGGCGGAGCATCACTATTACCAGCCAGCTCCACCCAGACGGTACTTTAATGACCAGCCAGTAGTAACAAACTTAATCCCTGCTGAAATGGAACCATAGTGAGTTCCCACTGGAATCCATGGACCATTACCCCCAGATAAAATAGGCCTAAATTTGGGATGAAATAATTTTAAAGAAGGAATTCAGGTAATGCCAGGAGTTATCGATTTGGATTTTAGAGATGAGCTAACAGTCACTGGGAAATCAGAACATACCATTCGGCTCTCTACAAAAGCCATGCTGGCACAATTAGTACTTTTGGCTTATTCAGCAAATTGCCCCGCAGCTAGAGTCTGCGGCGCGCGCTGGGAAACGACGAGATAGCAACGCAAAGATACAGCGCTGCGGTTTCTGCAGGCTTCTGCCAGCTGTGCAATCACCATGCTCAGTGCTGAATTCTGGGTTTGAGATGGGGGAAGGAAGCGGTCCAATTCGGTTCTCCACACCGGTCAGACCACAGAGGAAGCCAGCGGCCACCATCTTGGAGAGCTGACGTCACCATCTCTGTTTTCCACTGATTGCAGCTCATTCAGCCACAGAACAGGTAATTTCAGGCTGCCATTTGCCTGCGTCTCGCAGACAAATTACTCAGGCTCAGTGCTAAAGAACCCACGGAAACTGCTTCATGGAGCCTGCTCCTATCAGAACATACACCGAGCACAGAGCGGCTGAATTCTGGTGCCCAGAACTGCTCTGGCCCAGGGCTAAAGAACCCGCGGAAACTGCTTCTCGGTCCGGATCCTGCTGAATACTGTGGAGGTAAATACCAACCGAGCCTTCATAGGCAGTAGCAACAGGATTGAGACGGGGCTTGTGAGGGCCAGTCAGGACTCACCCGTTGCTTTGGTCACTGGCAAAGGGAATGAAATGCTGCCATTCGCATGGGATACCAACATGGCAGAGATCTGATGTCATCAGAAAGTGGCGGAGGAGAGAACTTCATCATTACCAGCGGTGACAGAAACAGTTGGTCTCCTGGTAAAGAAAGTGAGTCACAAACACCCGAGTCTCTCTCACTTTGTCATCAAGCTGGAGGGGCAGAGCAGAGCTGCTGCCCGCGCCCGGAACAGGTCCAGCGGCCCGCCAGCGTGGTAGTCACGTAACCCCAATTGGAGCAGGGGCAGAGCAAAGCCGCCACCCGCGCCCGCAAGGTAGGCAGACCTGTGACCGACCGGCAGAACAGGCCCAGGGGTCCACGGGCGTGGTAGGAGGGGCAGGGCAGAGCCGCCGCCCGCGCCTGCAAGGTAGGCAGACCTGCGACAGACCGGCGGATCAGGCCCAGCAGCCTGCCGGTGTGGTACACACCTGACCCCAATTGGAGTAGG